CCCCCGCCACTCCGGTAGCCTAGCACGCGTTTTATTTGGGTGAAGATGGCAGTGCTCTCGTTCTGCGACGAACTTTGTTCCATGCTTCCACAGAATCCACACTGATGAAAATAGCTGTCAAATTTTTTGAAGTTTGAACTTTCTGAGTATTTTCCATACTTGCGGGCGATGCTGTGCGCGGGGTCGCGACACGTGCAGCGCAGAGCGCACGCACAAGCACGTGATGCGGCACATCACTTTGAAAAAAAAAGAAGAAAAATCCGAAAGGACAGGGTGGGGTGGCCAAACGTGCCCCTCGCTTCTAAAATCGAACCGCAAGAGGGAAAAAAGTTGGGGCCGCGTGATACCCCAAAATTGTGAGTGCATGTGTGTGCGTGTGGGTGTGCATGTCCTGATTGTTTCCATTCTCTTTTCCGAAGGGCCCCTACAGCGAATCAGCAAGGACCCATCACGAAGCAGAGATAGGCATTAGACGTCCAGTTTTGCATGAGTGGGCTGATAATATATAGGCTGGATTCGAAGTTCGAACTCAGGTCTGTGTATCAGCGGTTATGGGTCACTACCTCAGCTAGGCCCTGTTGCTCTCTGCACGTGATTCTCTGCTTTTTCGTTTTCCTTTTCTTGATTCTCTGTTTTTTCTTTTTCCTTTTCTTAGGAATACGTGCAGTGGCCCTAAGGGCCTCTACTCACCACATGCACAAAAGACAAAACATATGGCGGCGTATGGTTCCACGTTCTAGCAGAAGATTCATTCTAATTTTGCACATTTGGTGAGTAGTACAGCCAAGCCCTGAGAATCACGTGCAGAGACGAACAGGGTCGAGCTAAGTGAGCAACCCATAACCGCTGAAACACCGAGCTGAATTCGAATCCAGAGTATATATTTGGCCAGCTCCTGCTCCACTTCATACTCAACGCCTGCCTCGATTTGGTGGAGGGTCTATGCTAATTTGCTGCGAGGACCCTTAGATTACTTGCAGGGGCCCTCTGATATGTGTGAAAGGGATCCTTTGCTCTTCTCGCTCTCTCTCTCTATCTCTCTCCCCTGTATACACACACACACACACACACCTAAAAAAAAATAAAAAAATAAAAAATTGAGCGCATCACTAATTTGCGCATGGCGCATGGTGCACGTGCACCACACTGCGCACCGCAGAAGTGCGCCCCAAGTATGGTATTTTCTGTTTATCTAGATGGCATGATTGGTCAATTATTGGCTTTATTCGTGGTTAAGTGTAGCTGCTGCGGAGAGATGAAGTCTCAGTACATAGGAAGGGAGACCAATACTTTTTTTTTTTTTTTTCCTTCTTCCAGACCAGGACTTCTTTTAGTTTATGTATCACTCATAATCACTGTCATTACAAGTAGATGCATTTGAAAAAGTGCCAGTGTGTGTATGCTCTCATGTGGTCTGAAGCTGACCTGTTTCCCTGTTGTTGTATGACATGACTCGTATGCATACATGAATAGGCGCAGCCCATGAGTGTGCTTTTGCAGACAAAGGCTTCATCTCTCAAATTCCTACTCATATGGACTCCATCCTTGTGTGTGTTTCTTTTTTTTTTTTTTTGTGTGTGTGTGTCTGAGATTTTTACGTTAAAACTTAAAGGTAGTGGTCTTTCACTTGCGCCCAAAAAAAAGCTATTCCAACTCATATGGACTCAATCCTTGTGTTACTCACATGTCTTCTGTATTTTTTTCGTCTTTCTTTGTCTGGGTTTTGTGAACATCTTTCTGTTGCTCTTCTGAGCATTTGCCTGGCTGCCCACCAGCTTGATGTTAAAAGAAGTGGGGCATTTTGTCTTTTCTCAGTTTCTGCACACTTTTAGGGATAATATCATTAATTGTAGCAATTGTTCTCTACTTTATAAGAATATATTTAC